TGCTGCTGCTGCAGCAGCAGCAGGGGCCCCCAATGATACCCAACCTAAAGAAGGGTTTGATGGGGGTCCCCCATAACAATGCAACGGCATATTCATCTCTTGCTGTTGCTGATGCTGCTGCTGCTGCTGCTGCTGTTGCTGCTGGTGCTGACCTGTCCGTACACCAGGGGGTACCAGTTGCACCGTTCCACCGACGGGGAGGCCCCCTTGGTGGGGGCCCCCTTGAGGAGGGCCCCCTTGTGGTAGGGATCCTTGGGGGCCCCCCTCAACTTCTGCTCGCTCCCTTGAGAGGCAAGACAGGTAAGGGGGGCCCTTGTACCCTAGGGCCTCCTTAACTTCATCAAAGAGGTCAGGGGTGAGGGTTTGCTGCTGCTGCTGCTGATGATGATATTCTTCTTCTTTATCCCCTAAGGCAAAGGGGGCCCCCCATAGGGGGGCCCCCATGGTCTAGGGTGTTTAATGGTGGGGTTGGTAAGGGAGAGGGTTTGACGACAAAGGAGGGGCCCCTAAAGGGCCCCTGGGTATAATTAAGAAGAAATTGGCTAATTAATAAGATATAAAATAAATATAAATAAATAAATAAATAAAGAAGAAAAGGGGAAAGTGGTGAGGAAAATAGGCATGTAGCTGTTGCTATCGCTGCTGATGTTGCTGCTGCTGTTGCTGCTGTTGCTGCTGTTGCTGCTGTTGCTGCTGCTGCTTTGCTGCTGTTGCAGTTTAAATGAGGTATTATTAAAGAAACATTAAATTTCCTTTTTTTTCCTTTTATGTCTTTAGTACCCTTATACCAACAAACAGCCGGTGGGGCCCCCCTGTACCCTATAAGGGGGCCCCTATTGTCAGCCACAATTAGGGGGCCTCTACCCCCCATACTTCTTTCTTTGTTTGTTTTCTTCTTTATATTTCTTTTATTTATGAATTAAAATCCCTCAATGAATTTTAGTTTAGTCATTTAGCAGCAGCAACTACTGGGGGGCCCCAGGCTGGGGGGGCCCCATCAAGACCAATAGCAGCCGCAGCAGCAGCAGCAGCAGCAAGACAATGAATGAAGAGAAAGGAGGTGCCTATACACCTGAAGATTCAGGTGTACAGGCAGGTTGGCAAGAAGAAGAGGGTTTAGGTCTTTGTTGTCCTCCTAATTCATTATTTCAAGACACACTACATAGTATCCTTGTTGAGTACGTCTGCTGCTGCTGCTGGTGCTGCTGCTGCTGTTGCTGTTGCTGCTGCTGTTGCTGCTGATGTCTCTTACTGTGTGCTGCTTCCTCCTTCCTCTTTGTGTGTGCTACATTATAAAGTATCCCCTCCTCTAATGTTTAGTGTTCATTAGTATTGATTAGTGTTTATGAGGGTTTAGGGTTTAGGGTTTAGGGTTTAGGGTTTACGTATAAGTGTTTGCCGCATGCAGAGGTATCCCAACTCCTTCTCGTTCTCTTAGTACTTTTTGTTTATCTGCTGATTCTTCTTCTTCTTTTATTCATCGCTTATTTATACCTGATAAGGATAATATCCTTTATAAGATAGAGGCATCTGCTGATTGGCCTATAGGGTGGGGCCCCCACCATGATAATTGTACCCTACCAGAAGGGGCCCCAGAGGGGGGCCCCCCTCAAGTGGCCACTGAAGGGGCTCTTGAAGGGGCCCCTGAGGGTCCCCTCGGCGAGGCCAGTGAGGTTTCCAAGGAGAACGCCGAGGATCCACCGGAGGGCCCCCCTACGGGGGGCCCTAAGGGGGCCCCCAAGGGGGCCCCCAAGAAAGGGGGGAAAGGTACAAGTAGATCTTCTGCTTTATCTAAAGGAGGGAATTGTACAGGACCCTTAGTTTGTCCTGTTTGTGTGAGGCCCCCTATAGGGGGCCCCCAAGAAGGGGGGGGCCATATGGAAGGAGGGGCCCCCATGGGATGTGATGGGGCCCCACAGGGGCCCCCTTTTACTTCTTGTATAAAAAGAGGAAGTAAACCCTTGCTGAGGGTACAGCCAACACAATTGCTGGTTTATGTATCTTATCCTTTTTGCAGAGAAGTATGGGATGCAGGAGCCTCAGGTAAGGGTTTAGGGTTTAGGGTTTAGGGTTTTGCGCATGCCAGCACTGTGCACTCCACGACAAGTAGATAGCCAACATCCCCACAAGGGTTTAGATTTAGTGTTTAGGGTTTAGGGTTTAGGGTTTAGGGTTTGTGTGCAGATTTATTTGCTCACTATATAGCTGGTAAACCCTTGGCTAGTTGCTCCGTGTCTGTACTAAGTGGTCCTCTGCATGCAGCAGATTTGCTGCTAGAGATTTCCTCTGTATCTAGAGATCCTGCTATACGTAAGCTGCTGCTGCTGCTGCTGCTGCTGCTGCTGATGTTGTTGTTGTTGTTGTTGTGGCTGTTCTTTCTTCTTTTGTCTCCTATCCTTCTTTTATCTCCTTCTTCCTGTGTCTTATACGAGGGTTTAGGGTTTAGGGTTTAGGGTTTACGTGCAGGAAGAGAGTTGGCTCTTCAACTATCACGAATGAGGCAAAGACTACAATGCGGGCCTATACAACGTTTCCTTCGCTCTGTACGCTAAACCCTAAACCCTTATTCCTGCTTGGACCCTCATGAACTCGACTTATGGCGTGTGTTAGGGTTTATGGTGGTTTAGGGTTTTCTCTGGTTTAGGGTTTTGTTTTCTTGCGATTGAGGGCTTGTATTAGGGTTTAGGGTTTAGTGCGTTCCTAGGGTTTAGGGTTTAGGGTTTAGGGTTTGTGTGCAGGTACACCGTAGGAAATCGGGGTGTCTTCGATGTATACAAATAAGAAATTCAGAGAAGATATGGATGGGCCTACAACAGGATACAGTTGTCATTGTAGGGTTTAGGGTTTAGGGTTTAGGGTTTAGGGTTTAGGGTTTTTAAATTCCTCTTTTTTTATTGTTGTTTATTGTAGGGTTTTTATATTTGTATTTTATTATTCTTTTCTTTCTCTCTCTCTTTCGTTTTTTCCTTGCCGTGTCTAAACCCTCCTTCTATATAATTTAGGGTTTAGGGTTTAGGGTTTAGGGTTTGTGTGTTCAGATCCACCGCTTTGTTTGTACGGATGTTCTCCGTCGTGACTTAACACTCCAATACTGCAAAGTGCGTCTAAACCCTAAACCCTAATCTAAACCCTAAACCCTTATATCTAATATAGTATAATGAGGGATAAGACGGGGTCCGGGTTTAAGACCTAGGGTTTAGGGTTTAGGGTTTGTGTACAGGAATTTGCGCGGGCAGCAACTGAGGGTTTAACGATGCGTCTATCCGATGCTGTTGCCTCCATAGAAGCCCCAGATATCCTTAAGGGTTAGTAAACCCTAAACCCTAAACCCTAAACCCTAAACCCTAGTTCCTCAGGCTTACAGGTGTGTTCTCACCAGGTCAAGGGTTTGGTAGCTTTTAGGGTTTAGGGTTTAGGGTTTATTGCCGCAGGTGAACTAGAAGAAGCGGATATAAAAGAGGATGAGTTAGCAGTCTTTCTGCTTCTCGGTAAGGGTTTAGGGTTTAGGGTTTTTAGGGTTTAGGGTATTGCTGATTGTCTCTACGTTTGAGGGTTTTTGTTTACTCTTTCCTTGAATCTTCCATCTGCCTCTAGGGGGTTTAGGGTTTAGGGTTTAGGGTTTATTATAGAAAAACTTTTTTTCTTTTTACCCTGAGGGTTTAGGGTTTAGGGTTTAGGGTTTATGCTTATTGTTTAGGGTTTCCGTCAGGAATATTTTCTTGTGATATATCCACCGCTACAAGAAGTCTTAGGGCCCTCTCTCTTAGCGAAATGAGTAATTAGGGTTTAGGGTTTAGGGTTTAGGGTTTGTTAGCCGTTATTGTTTGCTCTTTTCTTTTTTTTCTATAGTTGTTTTCTGTGGTTGTTTGCACTGATATATAGATTAGGGTTTAGGGTTTAAGGGTTTAGGGTTTAGCATAATATATAATATGTGCTGCTTGTCCTGCTGCTTGTGCTGCTGCTTGTGCTGCTGCTGCTGCTGCTGCTGCAGTAATATCTGTGCAGCCCCACGTAGAGGCGGTGATTAAGAAAGAGTTATTGAGGTTTAGAAGACTTAACAATTAAACCCTTCCTCCTCGAGGGTTTAGGGTTTAGGGTTTAGGGTTTATATATACATCTGGGGTGTATAGGCACCTCTTTTCTTTTTTATGTTTTCTTCTTAATTAGCAAAGAAAAAAAACAATAAATAAGCAAACAAATAATGCATGCATGCATGCATGCATATTATTTGTTTATTCTTTTAATAAACAATATATAATTTGAATCTCTTGCTGCTGCTGCTGCTGCTGCTGTTGCTGTTGCTGTTGCTGCTGCTGCTAACCCATTTGCCTCTCTAGCTGACTATCTGTCTTTGTCTTGTATCGACTAGACAGTCCTAAACCCTAAACCCTAATAAACCCTAGACCCTAAACCCTCCTAAACCCTAAACCCTAATAAACCCTAAACCCTAAACCCTAAACCCTTGAATGTATAGCGCCAAGAAGACTTAAAAAGTTCATCGTTATAAGATTGATGACAAAAAGAAAATAAATAAATAAATAAATAAATAAATAAATAAATAAATAAATAAAAACAAGAAAAAGAATATATAATTTATGCATAATGCATTAAAACAATCATCTCTTCTTCCCTTCTTTTTGTTATTACCCTGCTGTATATATTTCTTCTTCCTGCTGCTGCTGTTGCTGCTGCTGCTGCTGCAGTTGCTGCAGTTGCTGCAGTTGCTGCTGTTGCTGCAGCAGCAGCAGTAGCACGGATGTATCAACCCCTCCTACGAATGCATTCTTCCTGTTGGATGTTGTTGCTGCTGCTGCTGTTGCTGCTGCTGCTGTTGCACTTGCTGCTGCTGTTCTGCTGCAGTATCTTGATCAATCCTGAGTTGCTGCTGCAGCAGCAGCACGGATCTATCTAATACATCAACAAGTTGTTGGTATTCAGTTAGTAATAGATCTATATCTTTTATTTTTAATTCATGAGGTGTACGTACACCGTAATATGTACGCGGTGTATCTATTGCTTGCTGCAGCAGCAAACGTAGCTGCTGCTGCTGCAGTAAACGTTTACGATCTATTATACTCTTATTTATGTCTTTTCCTTCTTTTATATATTGCTGCTGCTGCTGCTGCTGCTGCTGCTGCTTTTTATTATCTTCTTCCTCTCCTTCTTCTTCTTTTCCTTGCTGCAGATATTTTAATGTATTAATTGCTGTTGCTGCTGCTGCTAATGCTGTTGCTGTTGTCCCCCCTCCTCCTTCTCCCTCCTGCTGCTGCTGCTGCTGCTGCTGCTGCTGCTGCTGCTCCTGGAGCATAAGTTGCTGCTCTGCTGCTGCAATTCTTTGTTTATATTCATAAGGATCTATAGATAAATGTATATTAGGTGTATTACCTAATCCCTTAATAAATGCAGCAGCAGCAGCAAGCTGCGTAAGATAATATGCATGCGCTCCTTGCATGCATGCAGGGTGTCTATATATATGTATATATTGTATATTATTATTAATATATAAAGGATTATTTTTTATTAATGTATATATTAATAAAGGTAATAAATCATCTGCTGCTGCTGCTGCATGCATCTTATCTATCCATGCATGCATTAATATGTTGCAGCAGCTGACTATACACCGCAATTTATCTCTTGGGGCTTTTATTATATTCATCTTTTTTAATTCATTTCCTGCTAGTATAACTACCTCATCTAGTGTATAATCCTTTCCTCCTCCTGCTGCTGCTCCTGCTGCTGCTGCTCCTGCTGCTGCTGTAGGTGTTGCTGCTGCTGCTGCTGCTGCTGCTGATGAGGAGGAGGATGATAGTTCTTCTCCTGTTGCTTCTCCTGTTATCGTTCCAGTTGCTGCTGCTGTTGCCCCACCATCTGCTGCTGCTGCTGTTGTATCACTTGCTGCTGCAGTTGCTGCTGTTGCTGCTGCTGCTGCTGCTGCTGCTGCTGCTGCAGTAGGCCATGTAGGTATATCTAGATGCTGAGGAGTAACCCAATAAAGAAGTTTAATTTTATTATTTATTTCTTTGTCTTCTTTTATTTCCTCAGGTGTATCCTTAGGTAATACAGCAAAAAGTTTCTGTATAAGAAATTTCTCTAGTCCTTCTCCTATCTCCCATACATCTGCTGCTGCTGCTGCTGCTGCTGCTGCTGCTGTTGTTGATGCTGCAGCAGGAGCACCTGTATTATTATTATTATTATTATTATTATTATTATCTGTTGCTGCTGCTGCTGCAGCAGAAGGAGGAGGAACAGCAAATGCTGGTGTATCCTTGAGCATAAGTTGTGTCTTATTAATAAATGCATGCAACATTGCTGCTGCTGCTGCTCTATCCAGCCCCAAAGGAAAAGTATCAACAAATCTGCGCATGCAATTAACAGCAACACTACATGATGGATCTTTTAATTTCTCTAAAAATATACTATAAGGGGTACGACGTCGTCCTCCTGCTGCTGCTGCTGCTGCTGCTGATGGTGCTGCTGCTGATGCTGCTGCTGATGGTGCTGCTGCTGCTGTTGATGCTTCGCCTGCAGAGGAGGATAAGGATTGGTGGTCTGCTGCTGTTGCTGCTGTTGCTGCTGTTGCTGCTGTTTTATTATCATCAAGAGTTGAACCTCTCATGCGAGAAGGAGATACTTGCTGCTGCTGCTGCTGCTGTTGCTGCTGCTGCTGCTGCTGAGGAGACAGTTGCTGCGAAGGAGACACATCTAGTGGTGTCTCCTTGCTGCTTTTTGATGCATGCAGCAAACGCTCAAACTCTGTTGGGGCTTGAGAGACACCAGCAGACCCATCTGCTGCTGCTGCTGCTGCTGCTGCTGATCCTGCTGCTGCTGCTGCTGCTGCTGCTGCTGCTGGAGACTGTTTTTGACCTCCGCCACGTAAAACACCAAAATTAAAAGGCAAAGCACGCAGCAACCGACTGGCAGCACCACCCTGCTGCTGCTGCTGCTGTTGCTGCTGCTGCTGTTGTTGCTGCTGCTGCAGCTGTTGTTGCTGCTGCTGTTGCTTCTGCTGCTGCTGCTGCTGCTGCTGCTGCTGTGCAACGGGTGCAGCAGACTCGAACGCTGGCGGTGTCTGCTGCGCCTCTCGCGGAGCTTCGCTTCCGTCAGAGGTGGTAGCTCGACTTGCTGCTGCAGCAGCAGCAGCAGCTGCTGCTGCTCTTGCTGCTGCCTCTGCTGCTGATGCTCGTGGCGAGAGGTTTTCCTGCTGCAGCAGCTGCTGCTGCTTTGGCTGTTTCTCGTCCTGCTGTCCTGAGGAATCATGATTCCCCCCTTCCTCCGCTGCTGCTGCTGCTGTTGCTGCTGTTCTTGGAGAAACAGCAGCAGCATCACCACCACCACCAGCAGCAACACCAGCAGCAGCAGCAGCAGCAGCAGCATCAGGTGTAGGTGGCTGCTCAGGAGGAGAGAAGGCAGAGGTTAGATCACTTGAGCTACGGCAAGGAGGAAAGTCATCAAAGGAAGCGCATGCACTATCTTTGCTGCTAATTGTTCGTAGAGGGAGAGGCCTGCTGCTGCTGCTGCTGCTGTTGCTGCTGCTGTTGCTGTAACTTCTACTACTACTACTGCTGCTGCTGCTGCTGCTGCTGCCGTTGTGTGTATCCTGCAGCACGTGTCTTGGTGATAGATTTCTATCATCATAGTCACAACCTTCTGTTCTTACCCCTACACTCAATAGATGTGATCCTGCTGCTGCTGCTGCTGTTGCTGCTGTTGCTGCTGCTGTTGCTGCTGTTGCTGCTGCTGCATGCTCATGCTGTGGAGGATGCCAAAGACCTTGAGGACCCACAGCAGCAGCAGGGCTTGTTGCTGCTGCAGGAGACAGATGTCTAGGCACCTCAGGTGTCTCGTCATCTCCTGCTGCTGCACCTCCTGCTGCTGCTGCTGCTGGCGAATCTGTTGCCCTCGATGGTGCTGCTGCACTAAACAAGTCAAGGGGAAGATTGTCACCCTGGGCCCCCCCAGGGGCCCCTGTGGACCCCCCGGGGGCCCCCGAGGGTTCAGCATCATCAGCTAAATGCCTCCAAGAGGAAGCAGCAGCAGGACTCGCAAAACTTGCATGCGTTGCTGCATGCGCTGCTGCATGCGCTGCTGCATGCGCTGCTGCATCAGTTGCTGCATGCGTTGCTGCATCTGTTGCTGCTGCGCCAGCAAAAGGCTCCCCGCAGACACCATCACGAGGAGATAAAACTGCTGCTGCTGCTGCTGCAGCAGCAGCAGGACTATGCTGCTGCTGCTGCTGCGGCTGCTGCATTGGCCACGTGTCTTCGAAAAGCAGCTCTTGCTGCTGCTTCCCCTGCTGCTGCTGCTGCTGCTGCTCCTTCGGTGTAGATGCTGCTTCAGGTGTGCATGCATCTGCTGTTGCAGATCGTTGCTGCAACGGGCTAACATCACCTGCTTCCTGCTGCAGCAGCAGCTGAGCATCTTGCTGCTGCTGCTGCTGCTGTGTCTCCTGCTGCTCGGATGCTGCTGCACTTGGTGCTGCTGCTGTCTGACTAGAGTTAAGAGAAGGAGGGGGGGTGGGGGGCCCCTGTTGCTGCTGCTGCTGCTGCTGCTGCTCCTGTACAGGGGGGGCACTCCAATCCCCCCAACAATCATCTTGATCTAGCTCCTGCTGCAGCAGCTGCTGCTGTTGCTGCTGTTGCTGCTGTTGCTGCTGACGATCTGCCGCTAAAGGGGGAGAAGGTGTGTTGAACTGATGCTGCTCTATCTGAGCAGCAGCAGCAGCAGCAGGAGACGCAACAGCAGCAGGAGACGCAGAAGCAGCAGGAGAGAGACTGTGCGGCGACATAGCAGCAGCGCCTGACGAAGGGGACCAGGGGCCCCCTAAGGAGTGAGCTGGAGAAGCAGCAAAAGGAGAGCGTACGCGGGTCCCTAAGGGGGCCCCAATGGGGGCCCCAATGGGCCCCCCTCCTCCATATGGAGGAAGAACAGGAGAATTATAAAGAGAAGAAGATTCCTGGATACGGAAGGATTGCTGCTGCTGCTGCTGCTGCTGTTGCTGCTGCTCTGTGCTATCGAAGGCAAGAAGACCGTCAAGAGGAGAAGTTTTATGGGTGTCTCGAACAGCTGCTGCTGCTGCCGCCGCAGCAGCAGCAGCAGCAGGAGAAGCAGGAGAAGAAGGAGAAGCAGCAGATTCTTTAGGGGCCCCCTTGAATGCAGCACGAGATGTATCGAAGGTCATAGAAGAAGATCCATTAGCAACAGTCTGTGGCGCCCACATGTTTGCTGCAGCGCCGCAGCAGCGGCGTATTTTGCTGCTGCTGCTGCTGCTGCTGTTGCTGCTGTTGCTGCTGTTGCTGCTGTTGCTGATAGTGGCCAGAATTCAAAAGGTTCGCTGCTGGTGGGTGCTGCTGTCAGGAGGAAGGAGAGGGGAAGCAGGAGTAAATATGCAGGGCGTGTTTATTTAAAAAAAAGGAAGAAGAAAGAAAATAAAGTAGAAAAAAGAAAAGGACAATAAAAATAATGATTAGATCATGAAGATAAACAACAGAAGAAAGTGCTGACAGAAGCTGCCTATACACCCCAGCGAGCTGAGTGCAATATATGATCAAGAAGGAAGGAAAGCTGCACTATTTATGTTTATTTTTTCAAGATTCTTCATTAAAATAAATAAAAAAATAAATATAAATAAAATATATTTCTTATTTAATTAAAAATAAATATATTCATGTGTTATTCTTTATCATCAAGGCCGCTCTCTCTCTCTCTGCTGTCTCATGCATATATGCGGCCGTTTTCCTCCTTTTCCTTCTTGTCTTTTTCTTCTTTTTCTTCTTTTATTTATATATTATTTAATTTTATGTATTTCTTCTCTTTTTATTCCTTTTAATTGATTAGAATACACATAAAAATAAACAAATAAAAGAAAAAGAAAATACCTCCTGCTCGATCCTTATACACAGAAGAAGGAGAGCTGCATGTACACCCCAATTATTCATGAAATTCTTTTTTTTTTATTTATTTTTATTTTTTTATATATAAATATAAATATATATAATTATATATATAATATAATTATATATAATATAAATGAATAATATAATTAAATATATAATATAAATAAATATAAATACAATAAATATATACAAAGAGAATATTTATATTTCCTTATAAAAGAATATTTTTTTTATTATATTTATATGCATATACATATACAAAAAAAGTAAATATATATACAAGTATAATACATATACAATTATTGTATTATAAGGGTTAATATATATAATTATTTATAATTAAATCTTCTTAGTATTTATATTTCAGGTGTATAGGCAGGTAAAAAGGAAGAAAAATCAATTTTCTTCCTTTTTACCTGCCTATACACCTG